CGTCAACGGGATTGATCTGGAGAGCCCACATCCGCATTGCACTCAGTTAAGCTGAGGTGGCGGTCGAAATCACAATGTTTACTTCTTTTTATTTACTGCCTACTGCAATTTTCACAGCAGGGTATTATGCGAAATCAACCAAAACGATCGAACCACGATTTCCCTTTTCGAGGAAATTGTGCTCCATTTTTGCTTCACAGCTCATATCCGTGTAGGAAGTTATATTGCTCCAAATATCGAAAACAACCTTATACATCGTCTTATCACTAATCAACGTCGAAGGAACCAAGTTTCCAAAACTACAACCGCAAGGGTGCTCAAATATGAACAAAACAAGACGTCGATGGGTTTGGGCATATCGGAATTGTAAGTAGATGACTTGATGTGGCAACAGTAACCTTCATAGGACACCTATAGGAAGATGAAGTATTTGAGACCGTGACTAGATTAACAAGATGAGGAAGGGCAACCACGATTCGATCACGAGTCGTCTGAATGTGAATAGCACTCCTATGGCACGTAACTAATATCCACCCGAATCGCGATGGCATTAGGATCGAACCATCAAGCGTTGTTGCCGTGCCCAGTGGTTAACAAGTAGCAATGTAGGTATGATTAAAAAAAAAAGAATTCTGAGATGTGAGAAAAACTCGGATCCTCAGGCGCATCTGGAAGGGTTTCTCCACCAAGGTCTATTGTTTCTTTCCAATTACTTTCCGCTGTATGGTGTTAGGAAATTTCGTCAACTGCTTTTTAAGCACACAATGATTGTCCACGTTTCCAACTTTTTCCTTTATCTGCGTTATTACTAGTTGTAAATGTTCGAAGAGCTTCGGTTAGTCGCGTATCGCGGAAGATCGAAGCTGACAGTCCAGCAGATTGTCCATAAACTTTAGTAAAAGCTCTTCTGAGTTTCCGTACTTTTTTATCAGAAATTCAATGGTTCCATCATAGCTCTCTATGGTGAGTTGAAATTTCTTTACCGCTCGAGAGTTTCATCTTTTAATGAACTAAGTGATTGAATTTATGTCGTTTTTATACGTCCTGGAAATGTATGTTCGAGTTGCATAGATTCCTGAAATTATCCCTATGACTACTAAACTTAGTACAGGCAGTGTAGGTAGTTCGAGACGTGTTACTATGGTTGTTCTGAACGATTCGGCTGCTCGCATGCCCTATTGTTCCCTTGCTGGGATGTTTTGCCTCCTTTGTGAAATATCGGCGAATGCAAAGTTCTTGATACGATTCTTGTTCAGTAGCCTTCGGCCGCATCGGTTATATTCTCAGTCTTGGCCAAATAAGCTTCGGATTTATCTCGATTCGGTAGCGTTAGATTCACCACAGAAAATCTTGTTACGTACTCCTTCAGTATTTCGTCAAATTGTGCAGTAGCTCCGTCCGTAGCGAGTAATCCTTCATTTAATCTATATACTCTTTCATGTACGAAGCTTTATGTTATCTCTCCTTCAACAGATGACGTGCACAGCATTTCTGTTTGCTCAATTTTGAGACACGTTAGGATCGTCTCAAGCCTCTTAGTGCTGCATAGTGTGCCGTTCTAGAATTGATATTATGGTAAATTACAGGCCTTGAATATTATCGTGGAACGTAAACTTGTGAACTCATGAAATAGGCATGAAGTGAAGGTGGTAGCGAATCGGAGCTGAGGTGATAGCGGTCGAATCATTTCGAGATTGAGCTGGCTGCTGCGGTTTCGAAGTTCCGAAACGATGTGCAGTTGACGGGTTCTTCCAAGCGGCCAACGCACGACTCTGCCATGTGGGCGGGTCGTCTTGATTCTCAGCGATAAGCTATACCTCAAACCTGAGTACTTAAGCCGTATATAAACGTAATTTTTACACGAGAATCACGCAGTGAAGTTAGAGGTGTATACACATTAAACCGCGAGGTAAATCGGTTCATCGAGAAAAAGCGGTATACGTGTGAAACTGCATTAACAAGAATGAATGGTATTATGCAACAGACTTATGAGGCTATGAGAATGTAAATAGAAATAGAGCTTACTCACTACTTGGATACTTGGATGCGCCGTCTTCACTGGTTGTGCTGGCCCAGCATAATTTCCATTATTTTCGAGTTTTCCTGATTTAACCATTGTGTTTCCCTGGACTCTTGAGGTCAACCTGCCGAAAGTCTGCCCCAGGTCGTCACCACCATCTGAGGGAGAATTGCTACCATGAGACTAGTTTGATACCAGGGCAGTGATCGATACATGATGGTAACGCCGGACTCCTCAGTTTGGGAGACCTTGCCGGGGTTGAATCCCCCGCTATACATCGCAGCCCGACACCCAGGAACACCTTCTAGCCACGACGAAGCGGAAAGCTTTGGGGGAAATAAAGTTTGTGAAAAATGTCAGTATGATTACAACAGTGAAACAAGTTCAACAAAGAGAGTAAGTATTTACGTGGTCAGTGTGAAGGACGTTCTCTGGAGGAAGGAATTGGACTAGTAATTAGGAGGAAGGCTCTGCGGAGTAATAGAGCATTGAACGAGATAATTCATACATCACACAAATGCATTAAAAGATATCGATGGATTCGAGCGCACCGGAAATGAAACTAAATGACTTGGTGTGGCAATGGTAGTTTTCGTAGAGCACCTACAGGAAGTCCAAGTATTTGATACAGTTGACAGATTGACAACGCATATCGGTTACATGAGTATTGAAGACAACTTTAATAGTCAATGATGCAAAAGCGTGAGACTTCAGCTAACATTATTCCAGCCGAAGCAAATCGAAGGAATTGTGAATGCAGAAAATCGGGCGCCAGAACAAAGCAATGAGGAACGGCGACGGTAGTCTTCAGGTGGTGTCTGAGGGCACGCGGCACTAGTATGCGGTGCAACCGACCAGAGGGAATGGCGAAGGTCACAAGGTCGAGCCGACAAGCAGTCTTGCCGTGCCCTGTGGTCTGGACATGGCACTGTAGGGCAGGCCTGCAGGCTTTGTCGGAGCCTATGTCAACTGACTTCAGATACAATAGATTACGCGAAAGGAATAATCAATGCAAGAATATGTTAATAATTAATATAAGACATGGTAAAGCGAAAGATAAAAAGCATTTCATGGCAAATGCTTTCTATACACTTGCGTTTTAGCTTCTGCTATGTATTCTTCTATGTATGATGTGATCGGCCTCTACATGCGCACCTTTGATCTCACATCGACAGAAACCACGTGGATGCTCCGCTTCGAAGACAGCTTCACTTCAGATACATCTCATATCTCTAGTTGCTTTTCTGGAATCCTATTATATTCTATGTTGTCGCTTACCGAACCTTGAATTTCCTACATCTAATGGGAAGTATCCAGGCATTAAAAGATTTAAAAAAACCCTCAGGGTTGATCAATTCCTGAAGGATGCGCCATGCAGTTGACTTCATTAAGCATCGTTGGAGGTGATTGAATGCATATCTGGCCTTTGCAATGACTCGTGGTAGCCCACCTAGATATCGCGCAAGTGCTGCCATCGTCCCAGAGATGTCTGGTACGAATTTGCCGACCGCGAAGGATGGAGAGCTTGGTTAGCCACTGGCGCGGGGAACGATCCCATGTGTGTTGCAGGGCGCCTCCCACCACTGCACTACACGCGCCCATTCAAGCATGATGAGCAAATTTTGTCAATGCAGATAAGGAATGTTGATAAGAGACAAATAACAAGAAAACTTTGCTGCTTTTTCAAAATATAGACAATTATATGGGAATATGATATTAAATGTAGACAAAATATTAACTCTAGAACACGTTTATCCCCTGCCTTTCGTTACACGTCTAGCCATTTATGTGTCTGTCCTCACCATGCAGATCGTTCCACTCTCCAGTTTTTTCTTACCTCTTCTTCGGTTAGTTTACAGTGCATAAACTAAGAAAAAATGAAAGCCTAACCATTGATTCCAGAAGTGTCAACGTTTTCTTCTAAGTTATCAGAGAGAAAGTAGCTCCTTCTACGTACGCATAGCTTTGCACGTTTATCCAAGGTCGAGAACCTTCCAGACGTTTCCAGTCGGTATAGCATAGCACAACTCTGAGATCGTAATTTTTCTTAAGAAAACTTTTGTCAAGCTTATTGTCTTCACAGATCAAGTTCTGGATACCGTTCGAAATCTCGAAATGAAGGCACATCTAAGAAGGAAATCTTGTAAAGATACAGCTGACAGCGGGGACCGTACGGGTCTACCGGCCGGTATCCTAAGATGTATCGGTAGTGCTTGATCGATATATGCAAGAGACGCTCTCGTTCGTCGGCTGCCCTCGACTATTTTATTACCCGTCGTCTGCTCGTCCTCGCCAACCCTCCCCCATTTGCGCCTCGGCCAACCCACCGCCATCGCCACCGCCACCGCCACCTCCACCGCCACCTCCACCTCCACGACCGTCGCCTACTCCTTCTGAAGGGCTTCCAGTTTCTGCCTAGCTGTCTGTTTCTGCTTGTGTTTCCCCAAATCTACCAACAAGGTTGAAAAACTGTTCTCTTCGCACAAGTTCTTTCGTTTTGCAAAGCCACAATATTCAAGGGCGAAATAGCAGGACAAAAACAGGCTGAGATTTTTACGCCTGTTGGATAGGTTTCTGGAAAGATCAAGTCATTAATTACATCGATACGACGAAGATGAGACCCAGTTCCCACCTATTACAGCCTTATTTTCGTATTCTGCGGGCTTTTCTACCCTAATTGAAAGCCATCTATTTACATACATTATCCTCTATCCCGTAGATGAAACCTGTCTGTAACATTCCTCTCGTCACTCTTCCTTATTCTTTTTTTCATCGAAGTCTTATGTTAGCATTCTTGTTATTAAATATGTTTTTTTTAAAGTTTCCTTACTCCACCACTTATTGAGTTCTTTTCCCGTCTTTGATTCACTTTGTAGTTCTTTTTAAATCCCTTTTGGGTTGACATCTGGGACATTCATCTCTTTCTACACAGAGGATTCTCTTTCTTACTCGTTGCAATTACCCTTGATATTTAAGAGTCATGTCTGGTACTGTCGTCGAGAATCTTAGCAATCGCAAATTATTTTATATTCTAACTACACTTCTAGTTACTCAGATTTTATTCTTTTTGATTGGAGCTTGGTGTGGTTAGTTTCTTTTGTTGTTTCTGGAACTTAGAATGATGTATTTTGAGGATTAATAGATCGGTTAAAGACTTTTAGCCCCAGTGCCATCATCTTCTATGGAATACGAGATGATAAGGTGTGTGGACCAAACTAGAGGTCAAACCAGCAAATGGTTTCATATCCGTCCACGAGTAAGTCTTCTATATGTTCTCATTTTCTCACCTTTCCGTTCTTATACCCATCTATATGTTGTTATGAATAGGTTTTGTTGAGCTGATGCAAGGTTGGTATAAGTTGTCGTTTTTGTTGTTGTCGTTTTTGTTGTTGTTGTTGTTGTTGTTGCTGTTGTTGTTGTTGTTGTCGTTGTTGTCATTGTTGTTATTGTTGTTGCTCAATGGCTGACATTTCGGTGATTTCGCCTTCCTCAGAGTGGTGCTGGTACGAGTGGGACTTCATCGCCGAAACGTCAGCCATTGTTTTGGAGTTTTGCCGCTTCATCAACAGCTACGGCAACAACAACATCTACAACTTATACCAACTTCGCATCAGCTCAACATGATCATAAAAGCGTATAAATAAATGTATCGATTATTTATGCCATGGTTTATAGAAAGTTGGTCTTTTGAGTTTCCGTTCTTAATTTTTTAGCGTTGTGAAATCATTGGGGACCTATCTTCACGCAATCCAACTTCATTTGATTTACGTGAAATCGTTTTCGTAGCTCAAATGCCACATGTGAGGTAGGTAGCACATCTTCTATGCCTATAGCTTAGATATATTGTTCTTGAAAAGTTATTCTTTATCGTATTCCTTAGAGGGCGTATTCAACTCGAATACTCACCTTGGTTCCAATTTCTTCTTGGACTCCTGCAAGTAGAAGTAGAGTACAGCGATGTGTTTCAATACGGTACATCTTAGCTGGATTTAGCCTTAAGTATTAGGATATTTGTTTAGGAGCTGTTTTATTACGATGCTCTACTTTTCGTTTCTGTTAATAATGTTAATATATCTAGTTCATGGAGCTTTACTAGAACTGGAAGTGAGAATGGGTTATCGCACAAATAACGATGCCCCGGATGTATGGCACGATCTGATCACTACAAACATCACTCGAACACTGGACTGCACAATCTCACCAGAAAAGGTATCTAGACGGTGCCAAAGACATAGTCATTTATTCGATGTAAATTTTATTTGGCTACTTGGATGATTCTTCTTTACTGGTTATGCGGGCTCCAAAAAGAATTCCACTTTTTCGGAGTTTTTCTGGTTTAGCAGTTGTAGTTCACTGGAGTCCCGAGTTCAACCTGGCCAAAGTCTGCTTCTGGTCGTCACCACCACAAGCTTTCGCAGCCCTTGTGGATTAGAGGGAGATTTGCCACCGCGCTACTTTGTTACCAGGACGGTGGTGGATCCTGCTATTGGTTTGCTCTTAACTAGGCTTCCTAATGGAAACGCCGGACTCCCTCTGAGCTTGGGAGATTCTGCTAGGGGATAAATCTCCGCTGTGCATCGCAGCCTGACACCCAGGAACACCTCTCAGCCACGATGAGGCGGTAAACCATTTGAGAGATCTAGGTCACCTTTGATGACTCTAATTGCAGAAGTCTAATGGACACATGTATGATTGCGAAGTGATGGATCTTTTCGAGATGGGTTCCAATAACTATCCATTTTATCTATTGAACATTCGGATACCAATCAATCAATCTGCCTGCAAGTTAGTTTATAAGCTACTTATCATTTGACTTTGGAAAAAGCCCTTGAAGTTCTTGACTTTCACTTTTTGCTATGGTAAATTATATTAACAGGCTTTCAGTGTTAATCCAAAGCATGCGAACTGCCAGATTGGAAAAATAACGAATCTCCGTGTGGTGGTAGGTGTTTCTCCTTCATTTCTTCCTTTATCTCTATGAAGTAGAGGTTTAGTTTAATGTTCACGCTTAGAATTTTTCATCCGAGGTAATTCTTCGATAACTGGAGCAGTTGAGAACTTAAAGATTTGACAAATTCATCATAGAGTTTCGCTAGAGTTCCTAAGGTAGCATATATGTGTATATTTTTTTGCAAGAAAAACTTAAGGAACTACTTTTGGCTTTTAAAAGTCGGCATTTCATTCCAGCTGAATAGGAAGAACAGCATTTTATTGGCAAAGATGTTTAGATTCTAGCATTTGTTTTTATCTCAGTGAACTCTATGCGTGCAGAAATATGTTTAGTTGGGACTGGACTAATTTTCCTATGCATTGGATACTATTTGTTTCAGAATTTTCTGTGCTTTAGGCAATTCATCAGAACGGTGGTTTTACCCTTGTGTGGCTTTGGTTGAAAACTATCGTTTTTCCTGTTGTTATTGCAGCCCTTTGGTGGTACTGGAGTAGAGTAAGTTCTTTTGTCGCATAGATTTTTTTTCTCCTTGTTGAGGATGATATAAAAGTGTTTCCAGGTTGATAAGTTGGCTCGAAAACCCTTTCTTCTTGAAAAGGCCATAATCGCTCTTGGAATAAGTTTGGCAATTCTTGATTGTAAGTATTGAAGTTTGATTGTGTGTCATAATTCTTGATTGTAAATTCTTGTTGGTATGTGTATAACCTTCCAATGGTTTACCGCCTCATCGTGGCCAGGAGGTGTTCCTAGGTGTCGGACTGCGATGTACAGCGAGAGGATTCGTCCCCCTGGCAGGGTCTCCCAAGCTGAGACGGAGTCCGGCGTTACTCCAGGAAGCCTAGCTAAGAGTAAATGCCAGTATCCGCCACTGTCCTAATATCAAAGTCGCATGGTAGCAAATCTCCCTCTGATCCACAAGGGCTGCGACTGCCCGTGGTGGCGAAGACCTGGGGCAGACTTTGGTCAGGCTGACCTCGGGATTCCAGAGAGCCGCAATGGCTTAACCAGCAAATCTATTATATATGGTTATTATGCTGGGGCCCGCACAACCAGTGAGGACGGACTGTTCAAGTGTGAAGTATATATATATATATATATATATATATATATATATATATGTCGTTTTCTTGTTCAGCAATCGCGAGGTTTTTAAAAAAAGGCTTGCTAAGCATTGCACCAACTGGGGTCGGCAAATCGGTACAAAACCTGTCTGGGAGGATAGCAGCACCGGCTCGATACATTGGCAGGCCACCAGGAGTTATTGTAAAAGCCAGATATGCATTCAATCACCTGCAACGATGCTTGTTGAAGTCGAATGCATGGCGCATCCCCCAGAGATTGATCAACGTCGAAAGCTTTATCTTTTATTTCTTATACACAACATTTTATATTAACGCTCAATATTATTGGGTGTTTTCAGTTCCAGTGGAATGGATTTCGCTTGTACTTCGTGTACCCTTTATGTTGTTACTTGGAGATATTCGCCAAGGTGCCTTCTACGGAGTTCTTTTCGCTTTCTGGCTTATATTCGTTGGTGAGCACCTTATCGACGACACCACGAGGAACAATATCGTAGGCATTTTATTCTGTCGCATAAAATTTTTGTTGTCTTCATTATTTACATAATTATATTGCAGTGTGTGACCTTGTGTCTATGACTTAATGAATCTAATTATAGATTTTATTTTCGTGTTCCTACTGTTTGCTAAGATCCCAAGAACCACTTTGTGTTAACCTCGGGGTTTATCACTTATTCAGTGTTTTCCTGATTAGCAGATAAGAGGTTGTTATTACACTATCTAATCACAATAGCTGCCGCTTTGGCGGTTTCGACTTCTTTTCGCGGTTCGAAAACCTATAAAGGTTATATTGACATGCAATTTACTTAGCCATACTTGGATACTCGGATGACCCGTCCTCACTGGTTGTGCGGGCCTCCAACAGAATTTCCATTGTTTTGGAGTTCTACTGGTTTATCCATTCCTGTTCGCTGCAATCCTAAGATCAGCCTAGTCAAAGTCTGCCTCAGCTCGTTACCACTACAGATAGTCGCCGTCCTTGTCGGCCAGACGGAGATTTGCCACCGTGCAACTAGTTTGTTATCAGGACAGTGATGGATGTCCTTATTGGTTTGCACTTAACTGGGCTTCTTGATGCAAACGCCGCACTCTTATCAGCTTAGCAGACCCTGCTGGAGAGATGAATCCTCGGCTGTACATCTCGGTCTGACACCCAGGAGCACCTCACAGCCACACTGAGGCGGTAATCTGTTGCGAGGATTTAGCCTTACACTTTCATAATTTTACGAGGTGAAACCTGATGCAGACATTTCACGGGAATAGTAAAGGCTTTTTCTAAAATGTAAAAAACGACAAAACGTGAGCATTTGGAAATGAATAGTGTAATAGCTACCTGGCGTGTACTCATCAAGAAAACAGTGAACTCTTGCTTCTTAAACTTTAGGCTTCATATCGATTCAATTTATTCTTCATCTTTGTGGCGTCATCTCTCTTATTACTCTATGATATTTGCGAACGAGGTTTTCAATTGAACAATCCTTTCTACAGTATATGGGCAAGTGAAACTGGAACCGTAATAGCGGTAGTTGCAGTTTTTTGTGCTTCCAATGGCTCCAAGTTTACAGCGATTATTAAGAATCGTTTCAGAAAACGTTTGTCTATGTTGCCTCTTTGTGCACAGTCCTTTACTTTGTATTTCTGTTTGGAAAAATCTGGAAGGTATGGTTCACCATTAAGAGTAAACGATCTGCACAGCTCTACAAGAACTGTCAAAATAGACGTCTGAAGGTAAGAGTAACTATCAAGTGTTTTGGATTTTACATATTATGCTGCTATCATCTGTCAGAGATCCTACCATTAGTCGACGAGAGATTTAAGCAAGAGCCAGAAAAGTTTCCCTCCTTTCACGTGTAAGGGTAGCACAGTGGGTTCTCTTATATGGTATTCAAAGGTCAACGTATTTTTCGTCGAGTATTTTTGAAGAATTTTGATCAAGTTGTAGTCATCTTTTCGTGTGGTTGGTGTCCTATGGCACACAATCGCTAACCTACCATCGTCCAGCGGTTGTCGTTAAGACGATTCGCCACTTCTTCGCTTCACCTTTTCTTGATATGCCTAAGCCCAGGTGTTTTTCCTAGCTGATTTTCGAGATTTTGCGACAGCGCTCCTGACCAACAGTTTTTGAAATAGAAACAAATTTCGTATGTCGGGATACTTATATATATAATAAACCCTTTTCGAAATTCTGCTTCCTAATTTCAGTTCTCTTTCACTGAATCTTCAATTAGCCCTGTTACGGTTTATTCAAAGACAAAGATGACTGATACCATGTAGGTGCTTATAAGACGCTATAGTCTTGCTGCTTTTCCACTGACTAAGTACCTTGTATCCAGAAGTGTGCACTAGTGTTGTTGTTGAAGATTGTTGGTGGGTTCTTTACATTCTCAGGTTTAAATCTGTTGGAACAAAGTACTGTACGATCCTAAAGGCACTACGTAGCACATAAAACTTCGAAATCAGAATATGAAAAATGGATTTCCTGCATTACTGCTTTCCTGTCAACGGCACTGCATATAGAGTCTGAAGTGCAATCATGTTAGTCTTATATAAAAAAAGGAAAAGGCTAACGGCGTTGATCAATTCCTGAGCCATGCACCTTGCATTCGACTTCATTAAGTGTCGTTGGAGGTGAATGAATGCATATCTGGCCTTTACAGTGACTCGCAGTGGCCTACTGATGTGTGAGACAGTGCTGCTCTCTTCTCAGACAAGTCTGCTACCAATTTGCCAACCAGAGAGGGCTGAAGGCTTGGTGAGCCTGGGGCGTAGGAGGGATCCCATGTGTGTGGCAGAGAGCATGTAGCTGTTCCGCGTTCCGCTGCCCTTATCTCATTAGTCTTGAAATTGGCTAAATTTCTGCGTTTCCAATGCTGTTTTAGGTTTTTTCAGTTTAAAAGTTGCTTGCACATCTTGTAGTTTACGAAGAAGGACAAGCTGTAGTTTTCAGCGAGCAGATATCTCTTAGTTATTTTAGAGCTTTTGATTTTTTTTGTTATTGTCGTAGTCATATTTTATGAGTCAAATTTGTTCCTGACTGGTATCAGTGATACGGTATCTTGTCAGGTGCCAGACAAGAAAGTGACAATCCCGATTCGCACAAAGTAGATCCTGGTCCTATTCGGCATTAACTTTAGGAAAACAGCGGCAAATTATTGAAATGTTTTAATGTGTACAGCATCGGTACCATTTTTTGTCATGAGACTTGCACAGTTAAATTAGTGAGGGGAGAATTGTTCAGCAATTTTGGGCTGCCATATGTAATCCCGTAATCGCTTCAACTCATCCCTTCCATGCCATTCCAATCCGTGATGTTTTTCAAATAACTTGGAGAAAAAAGAACTGGAAACAATTCTGTCGTTTTAGTGGTCGATAATGATTCTGTAGATGTATTGAACTAATAGATCTCCATGACCACATCGATTGTCTCCACCTGACCTTCGTTATATCTATATTATTGATGGTGGAATTTTTCCACAAGCCTACTCAAAGAATCACGAGAATCAGTTTTCCGCTTACGTTTTGGTATTTCGTTTTCAAATTCTGCGGCTTTATTCTGTGATTGCAAGATGGAGAATTTCTTGCGAAGGAAGCGATTGTCTAATTTTGTGGGTACCTTTGAAAACTCGTTGATATAATTTAAACAAGTTCTTCGACTGGCTTAGTATAGTAAATCTTATGGTGTTTTATCACCATAGAACTCATACAACGTGGAGAGACAACTTCTAAAATTATGGATTATCATGAGACCGTCTTCATGAACACGATAGGCTCAATCAGTCGCTCATTCTATGCGTTCGATTCCATGTTTGGGTGCGGCTCTGGAACGCCACCATTCATGGTTATGTATGCACACACACGGAAAATATGTCCAGAATGGTCTTCTTTGCCTCATGGCATATATCGTGGAAGTTCAGTTTTGGTTCACATTAGCCTTTCTATGCTTCACATGAAGACTTCAAAATAGGCTCGTCATTGCTCTTGATCCCTCATGTGAGGAAGCTTTATGATTATGTGCTTATTCCATGATGTGTTATATATTGGAACAGTTTAGGTTGAATCCATTATCTATCGATTTAAATTCCTAATGTTGCTCACACTGACTTGTGCAGGTCTGACTATTTCCTGTTACATTATGAAGCAGGTTTGTTTGGGATTCCACACTTAAATACTTTAGTTTTTCAACGTTGTTTCTTTTGGTACTTAAAATGGTGCCTTCTATCAATATAACGAGTAATGTGTAACTTTAAGGTATAGTGTAGGCTCTTCTATCATTCTGGGTAATTAACGTAGATATGGATATAAGATATAGATAAAATAAGATCCTCCCAATTGTTTATTGCCTCATCGTAGCAAGTAGATGTACCTGGGTGTCGGGCTGCGATGTACAGCTTAAGGATTAATCCGTAATGGCGGCGATTGCCTGTGGTGGTGACGACCTAGGCAAACTTTGGATAAGTTGACCTCGGGACTCCAGGGAGCCACGGTAGCTAAACCAGAAAAATTCCGAAAAGATGGGAATTATGCTGGTGCCCGCACAACTAGTTAGGACGGGCCATCCAAGTATCCAAGTATGGATGTAAGATTAACATAGATCTAGAACAGCTTTAATTTGCATATTGACCGAATCATTCAGTTGAACCGTTGAAACATTGTGGTGTCATTCAATCAAATACGTTATTCGTTGAGGTGAGCAGCAGAAATAATATGGTACAGTAGCTGTTTTGTTCTTTTCCAAAATTATGACTTTTCCTATTGGAAATGTGTGTTGAAGGTAATGGAATGTGGAGAAACAGTGAAGTAGGGTGTGGTTTATTTGTAAAAAAAAAATGAATGTTCTTATGAATATCATGGATGTCAATGGTTTTTACGGTGCATTTGGCTAGTGATGTACCTAGACCTTGACTGAGCTTTCCAGATGTTGTGCAGTTTCACTAGGTTAACCAGTAAGAGGTGAAAATTCAAATCCTCTGAATTCAACATTGACTTTTTTTCACTGCAGTATGGAGAGGCGCAGATTCACTCGATTGATCCAGAGGACAGTGTACTAACGCACAGTACGTCCGCTTTTTTTACTGGAACCTTTGGAATGTGGAACATTTATGTCCTTCTGCTACTTGCTATGTATGCTCCGTCACATAAAAGTCGTGCTGGTGCAGAAGGTGAGCAATTGCTTGTTACAGTCGTTTCTTATCGGGCACAACTTGATGTAAAGAAGGGCTCTGAATCGCACCGATCGCGGTGAAAGTGGCATATCTTTTTAGCGGAATTTCTGCTATTTTGTGGTGCACAAGTTTTTCAGCAAACTTTTGATTATACGATTTCGTTAAACTCCAGAATTTTGGAAGCATAGTATGAAAACAATCCTAAACAAGTTCGACCAATTTTAGAACTGGTCGACGAGAACGAAGGCTTAATGGGTGGTACTTATGAGTCTAATGCGATGACAACGTTCTTGAAATCTGCTAGAGATTAGCATTCCTTGGGTCCTCATTTCCTGCTTGTTGATTTGGGTGGTGTTCCGCTTCCTATGTTTATCATTCGTTTTGTATATTTGGCTTTTTCCTTTGGTTTAATCGTGAACAGAAGATTATCGCACTTTTGAACTTACATTGTTGCACACTATTAGCCACTTAAGTTTCACGATTTTATGTTATGTTGTAAAATTTGTTTATAATGGATTGCATTATTTCACACCATTTGTTCAGATTGAACGGTTCGTGTTATGCAAGCTTTTTCTAAATAGAAACTGTTCTGTACATGAAGACTTTGGCTGAAAAAACGCAGTTGTTAAGCCCATATTGCCTTAATGTAGAGGGGTCTCTAAACTTCTTTACAGATTTATGACGTTGTAATCCTTATGATATCGTGATATCAAGAAGACGCTGTATTATTTATGTTAACATCGGATTGTATAAGACTAGTAGAATATATTTTGGAATTGGGTAACATCTTTATTTGAGGGTTATGAATGACCTATGAAAAAGGATAGTTATTCTTTACTCTAAAGACTAATGCTTAGTGGTTGGCGACGATGTTACTACAGTGACGATGGTAAGGTAGTGCGAGGAACGGAAGGGAAGTTGTAATGATCTGGCTTTTTTCGAGGTAGGAGAAATTAGTGTAGGCCGTCAAGAGTTGCAGATGGTGATGTAGACATCATACTGTATCCGATCATTACTACTATACTCGCGCCTTCACGGGTCAGTCATGTGTGATCTGCGCGTGTGCAAGAACAGTTTTGCGTTTGAGCTCTGACCCTTTCATGACTATGGGTATTAATTTCGATATCAATGCTAGTACACGTTTCGGACAATACATCTTTAATTCAGTGCGCCAGGTTTTTTCTAACCTGTTTCGACAACAGATGTTTTTTTCTAAACTTTTCGTAGATAATCAGTACCTTGTCGAATGCAGATTTTATACTGGGGTTAAGGTATGAGTACTTGTTCTCAATGCGCTATACTTACAAAAGGCTATTTTTGGATGGTGGAATCTAATCGGTGGATAAAAACATGAAATGACACAAAAATACTTCAGCTATCGTACAAAACCATACGGAAAGCTATTAACAAATTGGTAAGGTAATGAACGACTTCCTTTTTACCACACATGAGAGTTCGATCAGAGACAAGGGCTCTCCATCAACATGGGATTATACACAGAAGAACATAGCGAAGGCGTAGAAGTTAGGAAGGCATGGAAAATGTGTGAGGGTACTAGGCAAGAGTGCCATGACCTTAAGAAACCAATTCGCCGTACCTTTCGCAAATGGACATGGGCCGTACACCTCGGTTCCAATGCGCATTCCGATCGCGCCTAGTGACAGGTGTGTCCGATAGGGCTGCCACATGAAATTGGCTGCGCTGCTGAAGTAATCATATTTCATTTCCTATTGAATTTCATTAGTTGGTGTAACAACATTTACATTCTACACATTTTTGCCCACAAAAGACAACTTTGCTATCATCAATGGAAAGATTTTTATTTTGTGGAGTTTGTAAAGCATGTCTCCTCACCTTTTTTTTCATCAGAGCTCGTACCCTGAGCAGTAAATAAGCAACCGCGATTTTTGTACGGCAAGACACCTGCGGTGTCCCACAATGTATAGTGTTCTCAGCTGGAATTTCTGAGTTTTTGACAGTTTGAGTTGAAATGACACGTAGGAGACTTTTTATAGAATGGGAGTAATGGATCAAAGTTTCTAAACACAACAGGTTCCCAACGCCTCAGTTACATTAGTTTATTGAGAACTACGCTGTAGCTGAGAAAAACTAGGTTTTTCCACCTGTATGGTAATGTAACGATTGTAGACAACGTATAAAACAAGTTTTAGAGGCATTCGCCCACTATTTTTTCCGAAAAGTAAGAAAGTCCACGACAACACAGGCAAGCGGGACGACGTGAGCATTTGCAGGTGCGCCATCAGCGTTCTGGCAACAATTGGTTCTTTGCGACCGTGTCTCTAAAGCCATCAGAAATGAAGCATTATTTGCAATCAAAATACATAAGAATGTTCCGCTTGCCTCTCGTCTAATGCTTAACTTTGTCCTCCACATTCAGCTAGTTATTCTGTAAGAAAACATTGCTTTAACTCTGTTGTCCTCTTTTTACAGCAATCATGAGGCTGTTATTCAGTACACGTTTACTTCCTCACAAATATAACATGTACAACACAATGGTAGCTGACGTTTCGGCAGTATCGCCTTTTTCAGAGCGTGGAAGGATACACTAATATGTAATTTTCTAGGTCAAACCCTTCGACAACGCAAACAGAAAGATGAAAATCTGCCCTTCTTAAGCATCATTTTATAGCTACGCTTACTTCATCGCTTATAAAAGGCAACGTAAACGGGACTTTCTTTTGGCCAAGTGTTTCGCGTAGGCGCGTCGCTCTCCTTCTAAACTTGTCTCGTGGGGTTACTATTTCGTAGCCATTGGAGATGGCTATTTGCCGAGCAAAGTCGCGCGATTCTTCCTTTAGTTCCCTGGTTGTGCACACAGAGGTGGCTGTTCGAAACATGTTTCTCACAATCGCCCTCTTTGTGTGTGAAGGGTGGGAAGAAAGGAAATGAACGAGGATGTTCTTGTTACTTGGCTTTCGGTACCACTCTGTCAGGTAACCGCTACTTGATAGGTGTATTTGAACGTTCAAAAACGGAAGCCAGTTTTTCTCGGTTTCTCCCGGGTGAACTTTATGTACTCGAACTGTTCGTTTAATAATTCAAAACATTTGTCCATCTCCTCCTGCGTAGAGAAGATGACAAAACAATCATCTACATATCTGCAGTAGAGTAGTGGCCGGAGATCGAAAACAGGGGCTTCTATCTTAGACATATACACAATGGCAAGGCTTGGTGCCAATCGCTGTCCCATTGCCAACCCCCTTATTTGCGCGAAATATTTCCCAGACCATCTGAAGATCGAGCAGTTTAGGCACTCCTTTAAGAGAGCCATTAGCTGCTGGATGGACAAGCCATGCATATTTATTCTTCCTTCATGTTCAACAAGAAGTTCGAAGATGGCTTGCATTGCGGAGTTATTCGACACGTTGGTGTACAGTGCGGTAACGTCGAAAGACTCCATCACATACGCGTTATTAGGAGACGCGTTACGTAGACGTTCTAGGAACATTTGGGTGTTTGTGAGGTGAGCTGGAATGTGGTTAAGCAACTGGGTAAGTATCAGGCTTAAAGACCAGGTTATTCTATCCATTGGTCCGTCTTCGCAACTGATGATGGGTCTAACCTTAAATGATGACGGATTGGTTGTCGCAAGATCATCAGGTGATACCAACTTATGTGTTTTAATGAGTAGGTATAGGACGGAACATGTTGGTTTATCGACTNTTGTCGCAAGATCATCAGGTGATACCAACTTATGTGTTTTAATGAGTAGGTATAGGACGGAACATGTTGGTTTATCGACTTTAAAGTAGGAAATAACCGATGATTTTAAACCTACAGCCTTTGCCACTTTGACCCACTGATTGTTTAGCTTTCGGTATTGACTTCTGTATTCCCTTTCAGATTATGGGCGATAAAGGGTAACATCACTAAGACGTTCCTCAGTTATCTTAACATCTAGCTGGCGAGGAATAACTATGAACTCTTTCCCCTTATCACTAACTGATAGCATAATGGTCTTTGAATTTATTAAGTCTCCAATTTCTTGCATGCCACATTTGGTTTAATGTCGAGCTTAATGGAAAGTTGATCTTGGAAATTGCATTTAGCCATTGGTCATATAATGTGAAGCTGTTGCAGAATACAAGAAAGAAGCAAGCAGAAGTCGGATCAGCAAGGATAGAATGAACTTTGGTAGATAATATTACCACTGAACAATTGAAAACGTAAAAAAGTGGCTTCCAAAATGTCAACACCGCAAAAGTAGTTTCTAAATTTCCCATATCGCTGCTTTTGACAAGCTTCGTTTCATCCATTTCTATTTCGTTTATTAGTCTGCGTTTGGTTTTGACTACAAGAGCATCTTTGAGAAACTCCGTACTGCTGTGAGACAGAGTTGAAGTTAACCTTATCTGTCGAATTGTTATTACCGTCTGACGTCTTCCTTTCTTCATTCGCCTATGCTGCCTTCAAATATTTTAGAAAAAAAAAGATCATTGCATGAAGATCAAAGTATTAATTTCTTCGGAAATGAATGCCTAATTTTAACTTGCATTTTCAAAGTACCATATCTTAGCTCAGAATGGACTTTATTAAACAGACTAAAGACCACCAGATTCCGCACAGTTTTGTCAGCGAGAAATAAGTCTACGTATATCAATTGCATACAGTTCTGGACTTCTGGGGTCGGCGATTTCGCTGGGGGTAGTTTCGGTCACGACTTGGTTTCTGAAGCATTTTTCGCAAAGAAAGTTGTTGAGAAGCTTGAAGACGTGCTTGTCAGTAGGAGAAATATGTGAGGAGTATGGCGGATGAGACAGGACTTGAAGTGAAGCTTGTTCAATCTTTCTATCGCTTGTTGTCGGACAGGTCGTCGCGTATTATCGTGGAGAAGGGTTGTTGCTTTACTGCTGAGAAATGTTGGGTGCAACCGTTGACGTCTTTCGTTTGTTTCATCGACTTTGCCGGGCTCACTTCCGCTGCGGTCAGGAAATTTTGGTGAACAAAGCCTGCTGCAGGTTAACAAACGTGATCTCTTGGTGCAATTTCGACTTTGAGAAAGTGCTGCCTAGATTCACCACTATCAAAAAACTGGGCGGAGTAGCCCAGCAATTTTTGAAATGATAGATTTAGTGGTATAGATAAAGGTGATTTGAGGTTGATATGAACACTATTCTTCGATCAATTACGCATTGGATATTGGATGACGCTACAGCATAATGATTGTAATAAGTAGAGAACCACTGCTCATGACCGTGACACGTGGAATATTCGATATTCATTAGAAATAAAAATGATATCGTATGTGGACACTTAAGCTGCCCGTCTCTTGTGTGCATGATTTTGGTGT